GATGGGTTCTTTGCAGAAACTCTGAACACCATTTGAGTCTCACTGACTCTATATTGAGGTTGTTGATAGCATCTTGGGGCTACAGTATTATTTCAAGATCTCAACACATCCATTTAACTCACTTATTACATTTTACCTCTCCAGTTCTATGGGGAAAATGATCTCTTGACCTTAACACTCTACGAAACAACAAGCAAACAAACAAACATGTTTCCAGCTTATACTGTTTTATTAAACACAGGAAATGCTGGAGGGTGGACCATAGTTTCTCCCCAGGCAGAAGCCTAAGGCAGGAGAGTTTCCGAATGTCAGGAAAATGAGGCTCCTTCTTTCTCAATACCTGAGTACTATTATTTGTGCCTCTCAAAATGATGGGCAAAAAACAAGGCTCAAAGCATTTTAAACTGCTTAAGTATTTACATGGTAATTGTCTCAGTGAGGGAGAGGAAGAGGAGACCCCCTGTTCCTGAGCGCCTTGCACTGTGAATGCTTTGCTAGATGCCTTTGCATACATTATCCTGCCAGTGCTCTTCGTCCTCCTCAGAAATTATCTCCAGGATTACATGAACTCCATTTCACAAAAGAGGGACTAGATTTTCTGAATATTTGCATCATTTTCCCAAGATGACACGCAAGGTACTTTAGATCAAGGTACTTTGATCTCTTTGTCATTCCTCAGGAAAAAAAAAAAAAAAGGTTGTCTTTGTTGTAAAGCCTTGGTAGGTCTTGATAAGAACAAGGTAACATTAATTATCCTAAATTTTCTCATCCATTTGCCCCACACTGTCTCCAATCAGGCAAGATTTGGAATTAAATCCTGATCCCAAGTCCCAGATCCAATGTCCGGCTTCCGGTATGAAGGCTGCATGATCTCTCTCTCACAGGTTTCTTCCAGGCTGGTGCCGGAGCAATGGCCATGAGCACAGTTCTCTAAGCGAAGCGATCCTTTTCTCCATGTCATTCTAGTTTGCAGAGCTGGATTTCTGACCAACTCACTCTGAGTTCTGAGAGACTGCCTAGTCATTCTAAGATTCCAGTCTGGCTACTATAAATCCCTGCCCATAACCCAGTACCTGAGGCGGTACAACCTGCCTCTTCTGGGCTGCAGATCCTGCTCCCAGGGGCCTGGCCAGGCTCCTCCGTCTGCATTCCTCCAGTCCTAATTCACCGCTTATCTTTGCACTTCCAATGTTTCTACAAATCAGAGGTTACAAACAAGGGTCCAGAGACTCCACACAGGTAAATGTAAATGAGCGAAGATGGACAGACAATCTGAGATGAACTAGGGCAGAATTACTGGGTCTATGGCTCTAGAGGGGAAAGCTGCTCATGTATAATCATTTGAGAATGTGGGCCCAGTATTATCACCTTTATGGATTTTTAAAGAGAAGATAAAAATCCCAATTTTTATGTAAAATTAGTAATTAATCCAGTGGTATTTTCTTTTTCTGTTATGTGAACACAAAAACCTGTACCCTACCCATAGTCCTTCAGTTTATGACTTCTGCTTCAGATAATTGCTTAGCCCTAGCTTACAAAGTATTATTCTCACAGACTGAAAAAGCCTTACATTAGGAGAGGTGAGTCAGCAACATAAATTGATGCTTGTGAATTAATTATGGAAAATTCTGATAACCACATGAATGCATTATCCACGTAGTGTAACTAATATCAAGGGACAGTTCTCTGCAAGTCTCTCATGTTTCTACATATCTTATGAGTGGAGACACTGACAGCCTTTGTTTCAGACAATCTGTTCAGGAATGTTTATATAACAAACTAGAGGCCTGGTGCAGATTCGTGCACCAGTGGGGTCCCTCTGCCTGGCCTGCGGGGATCGGGCCGAAACTGGTTCTCCGACATTCCCAAGGGATCCCAGACTGTGAGAGGGCACAGGCCAGGCCAAGGGACGCCACTGGTGCACGACTGGGGCCGGGAAGGGAGCATGGGAGGGCTCCAGGGCATGTCAGGCCTGTCTCGCCCACTCCCGATTGGCTGGACCCCAGCAGCAAGCTAATCTACCGGTTGGAGCATCTTCCCCCTGGTGGCCAGTGCGCATCATAGCGACTGGTCGAACAGTTGGACACTTAGCATATTAGGCTTTTATATATATAGACAGCCTTGGAAGAGAGATATGGAGTCTCTCTCTAGAGCTATGCTAACTTCCCATTATAAAATATTCATGTTTCCTAAACTCAGGGTTCCTCTCATATACTGCAACCTACTGCCCCAATTGTGTCCATCGATGAGATTTATGCCTCAGGGCATAAATCAGTGAAAATGCTAATATGCTGATATTTGTTACTGTTGTGCTTACTAAGCCCCTGGTCTCTGGTTCAGGAGAATCATGTCTTCTGCCAGTATCTATAAAACATTGGCAGACTAGCATGTTAAGATGCAAATAGGGTAAAATCTCAAGTCCTTCATAGTTCTTGAAAATTGATATTAGCTTTTCTTCCATTCTGAACTCTGGCTACAGCAGCTACTCTAAAATTAAAAGCCTACTGTCTTCTTCTATACTGGTTACCACATTTCCCTGAATCAATATATCTCTATCTTGCTTTTGAAAGCACAGCAATGCTTTATGCTCCATCAAAAACAATCATGAACTCCCATTTCAAACACCTAAATCTCTCCCTATCTTTCTTTCTAGCTATTTTGGCTTCCATCTCCAACTTCAGAGATTAGCCTGATGCTTAGCAATACAGCAAAACAACTAAGCAAAGAGACTGTCAAGCTATACTGCTTTGGTTTGAAACTATTGCTACCTACTGGCTGTGTTCTCTTAGACAAGTTATTTAATCAATTCATGCCTCAGTTTTCTTCTCTCTACAAAGAAAAACAATAATAGTAACTAACTCTCAACATTACTTGAGAATTAAATAAGTTTTTATGTTTAATGTGCTTAGAATAGCATCTGGTACGTAGTGAGAAGGCAATAAATGTAACCAGTTACTCAACTGAATATTTTTCCAATAAGTTCAGTAAAGGACCACCTTAAAAGCAGATTGTAATTTACAATATAACCCTATCACTTGGAAGATGAATGGTAAATAATTTAGGGCTGTGTATGTATTTGGTCCTTTCTAAATTCAATAAAGACATATTATTCCCATAGGTTTTCCCATTTGAAAAACTAACATCTCATCTCCCAGTCTTCTTCAAAGGACATGAAAGACCTTGCAGCAACCCCTCTCAAGTCAAGTTGTAGATGTATAAATGTGTACAAAATGTACAAATGTGCACATAAAGGTTTTATTTAAAATGCCAAACTACTCTTCCATAGATGGCCTTGTATACTCAGGATGCCTAACTGCTGTTGGTGGGGGGTCCTCTATTTCCCCACCATTGCCAGTGGAAGTGGACTTCTTGGGGTGTTGCTGGAATAAGAATTTCCAGAGGCCCTCACAGGAGGATGAGGTATCCTGGCAAGTGTTATTTCTGTGGAATTAAATCCCTGAGTTTTCAAGGTCCCCTCTCCCTCCATCCTGCCAAGGAAAAAGTCCCATTTCATCTTCAGCAGAGCTAGAATTAAAGCCAGAGCTCAGAGTTTCTGCTCCATATTTGCACAGTCCAGTCCAGCATCTGGCTAGGTTAGCTTATGTTCCCAGCTGCAGTTCATTGTGTGTAGGATCCACATGGCCATGGGCCATGCAGCTTCTAGAGCCACATGGCTAGGGAGGGAACATGGATGAGTGCAAGGAAACAGAACAAAAGAGAGAAATCCTTTGTCTGGAGATTATGTATTCCCAAATTTTTGTGGGCTTGCATTGGGATCCACCCCTCTAGACAATGATCTTTGTCCTCCAATTAGACTGACAGGCAAGTACCTTCCCTATGTCACCCCAATTCACTGTGAATATGCCCATTTTCCCTTTTGTCTAGTCTCTTCCCCCAGGAATCTGCAGGGAATGGACCAGTGGTTTCCTGGGGAGTGTGTAATTATAACTTCCTGGTGAAGCTGCCCAGATGGCCATGTTTATTAGTATAATGTCTGGCCTTTCCTTTGCTCCTTTCCTATTATTATTAACTAGCAAATTACAATGGTAACATAACTATTACCAGTTTTCTTCACAGCCATAATCAAAAACTCAATTCACCAAATATCACTTGTCTGAAGCATTGTTTCCATTGTTGTATTTACGGTGCAATGGCACAATTAAAAACAAAAATTCCAAAGGAGTAAAAGAGGAAAAGCTACAAAAATCTGATTTGATTTTCCTACACTTTCCCCCTCCTTATTTTTCAAGCAGCTAATCCCCTCTCAAACTGTACAATAGAATAGCTAGACATAAAGGCAAGGAGATAAAACTGGCCAGCCAGTGCATTGTTCTTGCTAATCTGCACCATTTACATAAGGGTTAGAAGGCTTGTTTTATCATTTAAACAGGCTTAAAAGCCTCTTTGCAAATGAGATTTAGTGCCTACAGAAGAATGAATTCTAGCTATTTGGTGAGTTTCTGCTGGACCAGCACTGGGAGCTGACTTGGCAGTAACTTAAGCTACTTCTTTGGCCTCATCCAGTATATGCAAAGATTGCTTCCAGCTGCCAAAACTGAAAAGCCTCAAGCTGATTAAATTCTTTCCAGGAGGTGAAAAGGATAAGGAGCAGGTTAAGAGGCCAATAATATTAGATTTTAGACTGTACCTGGGCAAACTTGTGCATAATGCAGGTGTTTTAGAAGTAGCTTTGAGTTTTTCCCCTTGAATCTTCCTTTGAAAGGGAACAGAAGGGCAGACAGCAAATGAGATTCAGAAACTGGGACTTAAAATAGTCCCAAACTGTGAAGTGAGGACAATCTAAACTCTTTGATTCATTGTTGGTCTGAGTGGCAGTGGGCACAAGGATCATCGGCACAGCAAACTCCCTTGCCAGTTAGCACGGAAGATAACAAGGAGGAAAAAATTTTCTTTACACAAAGTACAGGCTTTACATCAAAACCTTAGATTTTAAAAATCAAAATCACATTGATATATACTACACCTATAATATGTTTTACCTGGCACACCTTGAACAGATGTTCAGTGTGACCTTGGCCTGAAGTTCAGCAGGGTGAGTAGCACGACCTTGATTAAATTTGCTCCCAGAAGGTGCCAGAGTAGTCACTCCCTCCATTCTTAAATCATCAAGATCCTCTGGAACAACACAAACAATTTCAGAGAGAAAAATTAAATTTTAGTAGTATTAAGGAGAGAAGTCCATGTTTTCAGGTGTCTGCAAGTAGTTTATAAGTTAAAACATTACATTTCCACTTGGCAAAAATCTTACCTCATGCATCAATTATTATTTAATCATTCTAGATGTTGTTAGAGACAAATTATATGAGAAGATTTATAGGAAGCCAAACCACAACCTCTGCAGCAATTGGACCAAAATAGTCAGGACTAGGGCAATGGCTACCAGCTTCCCTTCTTTTTGTCTTTACTTACAGCTCAGAACAAACCAGAAAATGACAACTATGTTCCCAACTGATTACAAAAGATTCTTTGCTTCTAATTAGCCTGCCTTCTGCTTCCTCATCCAACAATCTCCAACCAGAACATATCTGAAACTTTCTTTTTTTCCATTCTAAACCTTTTCTTCTTGTCTTCACCTGGGGAGGAGAATACTGTTCTCTGAAGTCCCTTCCTATTTTTCCCAAATTCTCAATCAAGACTTAAAAGGTCTAAGTTTCCTTTGTAACTTGGTCCTGATATAATAGTACATGCTCTCCTGCTTTATTCAGAAAACAAGGAATCTTATAAAAGGTATTCCATTTACTTGCTCTCAAACTTAGCAAAAAAGGTACATAAAGTTTCAAAAGATAAATTATAATTTTGCCAAACATGATCCATTACTGCGTTTATAGCCTGTGTAAGGAAGGCAGTCTCCTTTGATAAGGCTATGGAGAACCCAAACATTGCAGAGCTCTTACAAAACAACTCAGCGTTCTAGGCTTAACTGGATAATGCAAACAAATTTTCCTGAGATTATAATGACTCTTAGTCCAAGTCATGAACCAACCTTCTGTAATCTGAAGGAGGCTTGTCACTAGGATCCTTCCATAGGCTTCCCCAACTGAAAATCCTTCCATCTACATGAGCAATCTGGACAATTACTTTGGGTTTTAACTCAACTTCATGGGAGTCATCAAAAACGCATCTCCTTGACCTGGTTGCAAAGGCTTATTTCCCTGTTTTAGGGAAAGAGCTGCCACTTCAAAATTCTGCTTAACCAGTTATAAGCTCCCCTCTTGATCTCAAGGTTACTCATGCAATGCAGACATTCTATTGCCTGAGAACATACAGCACTTTTCTCCAGCTAATTAACCTCTCATGAGAATGTGCTAACATTCCCTCACATCACCCTTCACCACTGCAACACCCTGATCCTACCAGAACAAGGAACCTCACAATTTTCTTACCTCAGTTAGAAAATGTGCCTGCCTCACCTAGGTTTTTTAATAACTGAAAACTTGACCTAATATTATTTGTTGATAGATCATACATCAAAATTTGACCTAATATTATTCGTTGATATATCGAAACTTGAAACTGGAATGGAATATGCTACCATCAACTTAAGCTTGCCTTTAGAATACAATCCTTTGTGTTATTGCACTTACTTAAGCTTGTCCACCAGCCAAAGACCACAGAATGAATATATATTTATATATATATTTTTTCTTTTTTTTTAAATATGACTTGGGATGCTTTGGAAACAAAGGTGTTCTCAACTCTGCTGAAAATCCTATCAAAAGTGAACAAGTGTCCTAGGCAGTTTGGCTCAGTGGATAGAGCATCAACCCATGAACTGAAGGGTCCTAGGTTTAATTCTGGTCAAGGACACATACCTCGGTTGCAGGCTCGATCCCTGGCCCTGGTCAGGGTACATGCGGCAGGTAGCCAATCAATGTCTCTCTCTCACATCGATGTTTCTCTCTCTCTCTCTGTCTCTCCCCTTCCCTTCCACTCTCTTAAAAATCAATGGAAAAATACGCTGGGGTGAATATTAACAACAACAAAAAAAGTGAACAAGCTGTTTAAGACATGTTTAGCTATACTCTTATTTCATAAAGATGCAGCTATTATAAAAGCTAGGGCTCATGAAAAAATAAATAATGATGAAGCTCAAGGAAATACTCTAGCAGATCATTTTGCCAAACAAGCAACCTTAAACATAGTTATCATGCTATCTAAACTCTTTGAGGATAAATACTTAAAGGAATTCAAAGAAACTATTATGAATATCAACATCCAGACCCTAATTCTAGAAAAAATATATAGTTCTAACTTTACTCAGATAATCTCTGGCGAAGATAGCTGTTGGGTGAGATTACTTGGTTTCAAATGGATAGTAGCTAAATTTCTCCATGAAACTACTCATCATGATACAGATAAATTGCTTACTGTGTGAAATCAACATGACTGGGTAAACTTTCAAAGACAGTAGAGGTCATTTTTTAGTCATGTTTTCTTTTGTCAACAGCACAATTCTAGAAAAACTATAAGATGGGATATGGCCAGGAACAAAATCTTCAAGGGCTCTTTGAATACTGCATGAATTTTATGCAGCTTTCACACTCCACAAGATTTTAATGTTTTACTAGTAGTTATATGTTTATTTTCAGGATGGGTTGAAACATCTCTTTGGCAAAAAAACTGTAGTCTTTATAGTTGCTAAAAAGCTGCCTTTTTGTTTTCAATATTGGGAATACAAACTTTTATATCAAGTACCCAAGGTACACACTTCCCAAGAAACATAAAAGAACCCCTTACTCAGAAACCACGGAAAGGTGGAATCAATTACATTTTCAAATGAATTTAACAGAACTTTCAGAAACCCTTGAGCTTCCATGGGCAAAGGTAGTCCCACTCATCCTTATGTCAGTATGGTCCACTCCCTGAGGACACATTGTTTACTTCCCTATGAACTGGTAACTGGAGGGCCAATGTGCTCCAGGATTTTACCTGATACTGAGCTCTACTCTCTGTATCACACCTTGTAAAATACTACATGAGACTCAGTCCTATCACCAACAGGTTAAGGTCACATTCAAAATATCTTCTTATAGCCTCTTCATAATATTCAACTATCATATTTTGTCCATTGGATGATACATCTGAAAAAAAATGCTCTTGAACTTCATGGAAGGGATTTTATCAAATACTGTAAACTACTAATACAGAAGTAAGACTCTCTGGAGTAAACCCTTGGATTCACATTTCACAACTAAAGAAGCAATCCAGAATCAACAAAACAAGAAGCCTATTATAAGAGGGGACCTCAAACAGGATTCTTTAGAACAATCCAATGACCTCAGATAGTGGACAGTTTCTGCCCAAGATGGTGGATCAAAACCCCTACTAATTCCTATTTTGTTTTTCATCTACTTACTTACAATCATTATTCTCCTTTTCTGTAGACTCCTGGTTGCTGCCCACCCATGATGGCCCCTTTTCCTCTTCTGTTCTGTTCTAGATTGGAGCGTAATCAGTCTACCACCAATCTCAGATTATTCAGCTAATATAAGGCCATGCCATGAATAATTCCTTTTCCCCTAGGTACCTGTGTGTTCCGACCAGATACTACTGGATTTCCTTTGCAACCAGCATGGCTAGGATCACTTTCCTCATACTAATAACTCATGCACTTTAGGAATAGTATTGCAAAACTTATCTGTATATAGGCACCCTAATTCTATAAATCATCAAACTGGAAATTGTAATTCAGACATGAGCTCCAAATGAGGCTACCCTTGATTATTCAGGCACTTTACCTGGGGGAGTTACTGTTTCATTGTTTATACAAATAAAGCAGTAACTATATATATAAAGCCCTAATACGCAAATAGACTGAACGGCGGAACAACTGAACAACCGGTCACTATGACATGCCCTGACCACCAGGGGGCACACGCAGAAGATGGCAGGTATAGGCCGTGGCGTGATGGTGGAGCAGGTGAACGGGGGCACCAGACCAAGTCAGGGTGCCGGTCACTGTCATCAGGGCAAGCCTCTGGTGGTCACTGAAAATTCTTTGCTGCTGTGTGCCGCGGTCCCACCTGACACTTGCACCTGCCGCTGGCGCCGGCCCCACTCACACCTGCTGCCAGCACCACAGCTGCCGCTCGCACCCGGCACTGGCCCCGTTCGCTGGGCACTGTCAGTGAGCACAGCTCGGCAGCTGCTGGCCATGATCGCCCCTCAGGGCTTCTCCCCCTATCCCTGCTCCTGAGGGGCAATCAGAGCAGCAGCCACCGCTCACATCCACTGCTGGTGCCAGCCCCAATTGCTCCACATCATCAGCGGGTGCGAGCGGGGCCAGCGCTGTCAGCACATGGGAGTGGCGGCGGCGGGAGTGGGGCTGTCGGCAGATAGGGTACCAAGGGCCATGGCACTGAGGATGGGCCGAGACCCACCCTTGTGCCTACTGCAACTTCACAGCCCACAGTTCCTTTCAAGGTACACGAATCCATGCACTGGGCCCTAGTTTCCAATAACAGGCATCATACAAACAAAATATGTAAAGACATGTATCATTTTAACTCTGACAGAACTAATAAATAATACTACCTCTACCCTACATGAAATATAGATCAGTCTCAATGCCTTGACAAAAACAGTGATGAACAATCTAGATTTCAAATTCACTAGTCATGGTAGTATCTGTGCTACTGATAATACTACTTGCTGTATTTGGCTCAATGAAACAGCTAAGGTAGAAAAGATTATATATCACCTTAAGGCAAAAGCTACCTGACTCTTTAAGATTGATCTCTTATGACCTATGGGGTTATTTTCTTGGCCTTTGTTAGATTTTTGGTTCAGAAACGTATGTTTCCTCCTTTTTTAAAAATATGTTTTTATTGATTTTTATAAAGAGCAGAAGGAAGAGAGAGAGAGAGCAACATCAACATCAATTGTTTGACTCCTATACCCACCCCAACCAGGACTTAACCCACAAGCTAGGTCTATGTGCCTTGGTCAAGAACTGAAGCAGCAACTTTTTGGTACACAGAATGATGCTCAACCAACTGAGCCACAAAGGCCAGGGCAATAGTCTACATATTTAAATCCAATAGTCACCGCGCGTAAACAATGTCCCGGGAATGATTAGCACATGATTACACCGCACCACGCAGTAATTGGTTCTG